TACCTGACCCGATACGACCCTACCTGAAACGATACGACCCTACCTGACCCGATACGACCCTATCTGACCCGATATGACTCTACCTGACCCGATATGACTCTACCTGACCCGATACGACACTACCTGACCCAATACGACCCTATCTGACCCGATACGACCCTACCTGACCCGATAGGACCCTACCTGACCCGATACGACCCTACCAGAACCGATACGACCCTACCTGACCCGATATGAACCTACCTTACCCGATACGACCCTACCTGACCCGATACGACCCTATCTGACCCGATACGACCCTACCTGAACCGATACGACCCTACCTGACCCGATATGAACCTACCTTACCCGATACGACCCTACCTGACCCGATACGACCCTACCTGACCCGATACGACCCTACCAGAACCGATACGACCCTGCATGACCCGATACGACCCTGCATGACCCGATACGACCCTACCTGACCCGATACGACCCTACCTGAAACGATACGACCCTACCTGACCCGATACGACCCTGCCTGAACCGATACGACCCTGCCTGAACCGATACGACCCTGCCTGACCCGATACGACCCTACCTGAAACGATACGACCCTACCTGACCCGATACGACCCTACCTGACCCGATACGACCCTATCTGACCCGATACGACCCTATCTGACCCGATACGACCCTACCAGAACCGATACGACCCTACCTGACCCGATATGAACCTACCTTACCCGATACGACCCTACCTGACCCGATACGACCCTACCTGACCCGATACGACCCTACCAGAACCGATACGACCCTGCATGACCCGATACGACCCTGCATGACCCGATACGACCCTACCTGAACCGATACGACCCTACCTGACCCGATACGACCCTACCTGAAACGATACGACCCTATCTGACCCGATACGACACTACCTGACCCAATACGACCCTATCTGACCCGATACGACCCTACCTGACCCGATACGACCCTACCTGAACCGATACGACCCTGCCTGAACCGATACGACCCTGCCTGACCCGATACGACCCTACCTGAAACGATACGACCCTACCTGACCCGATACGACCCTATCTGACCCGATATGACTCTACCTGACCCGATACGACACTACCTGACCCGATACGACCCTATCTGACCCGATACGACCCTACCTGACCCGATACGACCCTACCTGACCCGATACGACCCTACCAGAACCGATACGACCCTACCTGACCCGATACGAACCTACCTTACCCGATACGACCCTACCTGACCCGATACGACCCTATCTGACCCGATACGACCCTACCTGACCCGATACGACCCTACCTGACCCGATACGACCCTACCTGAACCGATACGACCCTACCTGACCCAATATGAACCTACCTTACCCGATACGACCCTACCTGACCCGATACGACCCTACCTGACCCGATACGACCCTACCTGACCCGATACGACCCTACCTGAACCGATACGACCCTACCTGACCCGATACGACCCTATCTGACCCGATATGACTCTACCTGACCCGATACGACCCTACCTGACCCGATACGACCCTACCTGAACCGATACGACCCTACCTGACCCGATACGACCCTACCTGAACCGATACGACCCTACCTGACCCGATACGACCCTACCTGAACCGATACGACCCTACCTGACCCGATACGACCCTATCTGACCCGATATGACTCTACCTGACCCGATACGACCCTACCTGACCCGATACGACCCTACCTGACCCGATACGACCCTACCTGACCCGATACGACCCTACCTGACCCGATACGACCCTACCTGAACCGATACGACCCTACCTGACCCGATACGACCCTATCTGACCCGATATGACTCTACCTGACCCGATACGACCCTACCTGACCCGATACGACCCTACCTGAACCGATACGACCCTACCTGACCCGATACGACCCTATCTGACCCGATATGACTCTACCTGACCCGATACGACCCTACCTGAACCGATACGACCCTACCTGACCCAATATGAACCTACCTTACCCGATACGACCCTACCTGACCCGATACGACCCTATCTGACCCGATACGACCCTACCTGACCCGATACGACCCTACCTGAACCGATACGACCCTACCTGACCCGATACGACCCTATCTGACCCGATATGACTCTACCTGACCCGATACGACCCTACCTGACCCGATACGACCCTACCAGAACCGATACAACCCTACCTGACCCGATACGACCCTACCTGACCCGATACGACCTTACCAGAACCGATACAACCCTACCTGACCCGATACGACCCTACCTGACCCGATACGACCCTACCAGAACCGATACGACCTTACCGGACCCGACACAGCTGTTCTGATGCGCACTGGTCGCTTCCTTTCCAGTCAGCCTGCAGGTTTAACAGTTTCTATTGTTGGGGCCCCTGGGGGTCAAGCTGGACGGACCCCCTTATCTGGTTCTGGCACCTCCAGCTTCAGGAAATAAGGTTGGAGCCCCTGGAGATCCACACCGTCAGCCTGGTTGACCTGTATTCCATGGGGCCCCCCGCCCTGCTCTGTGGCCCCCAGGGGCCCTAAGAGTCCTGGATCTGGGTCAGACTCTGATCTCTACTGGGACCAACATGGACACTGTGGGTCTATCCGGACACTCTGATCAGTCCTTTGGCCAAGGAGGACGTCCATCAGAGGCATCCATGACCAGAGGAAGGAGCGGAGGGAGGAAGGAGGCGTCCATGACCAGAGGAGGAAGAGGAGGGGGAAAGGACCCGATACGACCCTACCAGAACCGATACGACCCTATCTGACCCGATACGACCCTACCTGAACCGATACGACCCTGCCTGACCCGATACAACCCTACCTGACCCGATACGACCCTACCTGAACCGATACGACCCTACCTGACCCGATACGACCCTACCTGAAACGATACGACCCTACCTGACCCGATACGACCCTATCTGACCCGATATGACTCTACCTGACCCGATACGACACTACCTGACCCAATACGACCCTATCTGACCCGATACGACCCTACCTGACCCGATACGACCCTACCTGAACCGATACGACCCTGCCTGAACCGATACGACCCTGCCTGACCCGATACGACCCTACCTGAAACGATACGACCCTACCTGACCCGATACGACCCTATCTGACCCGATACGACTCTACCTGACCCGATACGACACTACCTGACCCAATACGACCCTATCTGACCCGATACGACCCTACCTGACCCGATACGACCCTACCTGACCCGATACGACCCTACCAGAACCGATACGACCCTACCTGACCCGATACGAACCTACCTTACCTGATACGACCCTACCTGACCCGATACGACCCTATCTGACCCGATACGACCCTACCTGACCCGATACGACCCTACCTGACCCGATACGACCCTACCTGAACCGATACGACCCTACCTGACCTAATATGAACCTACCTTACCCGATACGACCCTACCTGACCCGATACGACCCTACCTGACCCGATACGACCCTATCTGACCCGATATGACTCTACCTGACCCGATACAACCCTACCTGACCCGATACGACCCTACCAGAACCGATACAACCCTACCTGACCCGATACGACCCTACCTGACCCGATACGACTCTACCAGAACCGATACAACCCTACCTGACCCGATACGACCCTACCTGACCCGATACGACCCTACCTGACCCGATACGACCCTACCAGAACCGATACAACCCTATCTGACCCGATATGACTCTACCTGACCCGATACAACCCTACCTGACCCGATACGACCCTACCAGAACCGATACAACCCTACCTGACCCGATACGACCCTACCTGACCCGATACGACTCTACCAGAACCGATACAACCCTACCAGAACCGATACAACCCTACCTGACCCGATACGACCCTACCTGACCCGATACGACCCTACCAGAACCGATACGACCTTACCGGACCCGACACAGCTGTTCTGATGCGCACTGGTCGCTTCCTTTCCAGTCAGCCTGCAGGTTTAACAGTTTCTATTGTTGGGGCCCCTGGGGGTCAAGCTGGACGGACCCCCTTATCTGGTTCTAGCACCTCCAGCTTCAGGAAATAAGGTTGGAGCCCCTGGAGATCCACACCGTCAGCCTGGTTGACCTGTATTCCATGGGCCCCCCGCCCTGCTCTGTGGCCCCCAGGGGCCCTAAGAGTCCTGGATCTGGGTCAGACTCTGATCTCTACTGGGACCATCATGGACACTGTGGGTCTATCCGGACACTCTGATCAGTCCTTTGGCCAAGGAGGACGTCCATCAGAGGCATCCATGACCAGAGGAAGGAGCGGAGGGAGGAAGGAGGCGTCCATGACCAGAGGAGGGAGAGGAGTCATTCATATTGAGGAAGTGAATTTAGTTGAAATGGTGTCATAATGACATCATGATGATGTCCTAAATGCTTGAGGAAATGTTTCTTATCATTCATTATTTCATGTTAAGGCTGTTAGGAAACAGGAGAGCCCCCCCACCGGCCCCACCGGGGCTGCAACATGATTGGCTAATATATAGTATCTCTGTAAACAAAGTGTCCAGACAGGCTTTGGTTTACTGTTGCCCCCCCAGGCTGCCCCCCTGGGTGCTCTGCCATATTGCCAACATTCATCCAAGAACCAAAAAAAAAAAAATGCTGCCTGTTGGTTACAGTTGTGGGCCCCTGACCCTGGGGCTCCTGACCCTGGGGCCCCTACCCTGGGGTCTCTGACCCTGGGGCTCGTGACCCTGGGGCCCCTACCCTGGGGTCTCTGACCTGGGGTCTCTGACCCTGGGGCCCCTACCCTGGGGTCTCTGACCCTGGGGCTCGTGACCCTGGGGTCCCTACCCTGGGGTCTCTGACCCTGGGCCCCCAATCAGTAGAACCTTTGCTGTTGTTTCAGAAACAGGCTGAACTTCTGAGCTGCTAGAAAGCAGCGCTTCTGTTGGAGCGACACGTCAGAGGAGAGAAACTTACCGGTAACATCCTGCTGCTCTCTGAGGAGGAGAAACTGCACCTCCTCTCCTGCTGCTCTCTGAGGGGGAGAAACTGCACCTCCTCTCCTCCTCCTCTGTTGGTTTTTCCAGTTTTCTTCTTTCCTCCTCGAGTCCAAGCAGATATCTGAACCTCCTGAGCTCCTCTGTGAGCTCCTGAACAGCAGACCCCTCCTTCCCTTCCTTCCTCTCCCTCCCTTCCTGAGTCGCCTCCCTCTCGGTCCTCCTGAACTAACAGCACAGACTGAGGGACTGAAGAATGTTAGAGCCTTCAGCTCTGAACTGGGTCACAGCTCCGCTCACCACGACCCCCAACCCTGCTCCTTCTCCTCCTCCTGAGGAGCCTGGAGGATCCTGTTCTAGCTGCTGAAACTAGAGAAGTCTCCTGAAAACTGTTAGTAAGCTTCAAAAAAAGGATTCTAAATAAGTATTTTTTCTTAAACTGCATTATTTATCTGCTCCTATTTAGGGTAAAAACACTTAAAATCATTTATTTGTAGTTAGTTTTTGCAGTGAAGAGGCTGGATGCTGGTTTCCAGTGGGCTGGACGGCGCCCCCTGCCTGCAGAACCAGGAGCTTCATCTCTCTGTTGGCTGTCTGGTTGTGCTTCACAGCCGATGGGCCCTAGAGCTAGAAGACTAGATCCCAGTCTGCCCCCTAGGTAGAAAGGTTCTGTGCAGGTCCACCCTGCTGAGCACAGAGGAACCCAGCTGGCTGGAAAGTTGAGTGGAAGGAAAACCTAGAAAATCTCTCCAAGCACCGGGGAAGGAGGAGGAGCCCACCCAGGGTCTGAGAGGAGAACCAGCCAGACGGAGCTAGGAGGTGGTTCTCTATCTCCTCCATGGTGTTAACATCAGAACCATCTTATCCAGGACCAGAACTGGACCGTGGCTCAGTGGTCCCAAAGCCTGGACCCGCTAGAACCTGAAGACCAGGACCTACAGCTAGAAGCACCGCTAGGATTCAGAACCAGGAACAGTGGGTTCCACTACCCGACCCGACCCGACCCAACCTGTGACGGCAGCAGAACCTTCTGAATCTGATCAGCTGCTGCTTTGGAGAATTTCAGTGAGTTCTGCTGTTCTCCTTTCCCGACCCACTAAATGGTTCTGATGAACGGATCAATAAAATCCCTCCCTGAGCGACCGGACCACCCTCTTTGGCTGCAGGTGAAATAAAGCCAAACAGTTTTCCAGGCAGAGAAGCTTTATTATATTTGTAGGAAGTCAGGAAAAGGTTCTGGTGAGGTTCTGCTAGAGGTTCTGGTAAGGTTCCACGTTCATCCAGAACCACAGGGTCCGGTTGGACCCTACTGGACACAGCAGTTCTGTCCGTTAGCATCTTTGGAGCGCAGGCAGAGTTTGGGTCTGTAGTTCTCCAAGTACTGCAGCTGCTTGGCGTTCAGAGCACCACGGCGCTTCCTAAGGACAGAACGGACCGCAGTCAGAACCAGAACCACTCACAGGTAAT